CCAGCGGGTCCAAGATCTCCTGTTGTACGTCGGGGTAGGCATCAACTGCCAAGGCCCTCAAGACGCTTCTGTAGATGAGGGGCGACTCTGAGCTCCCACGTCTACGGTGCTGAAATTTTCGTGTTCTGTCGTCCGGCGGTTCGTAGACTTCCGCCATCTCAGCAAAAGCTTCTTTGAGCGTCTTCTTCTTCTCTGGGGGGATGAAACGAAAAACGGCCAAAGCATCGTCGTCCAGCATGGTGGGCAAGGCAATCAATGTCTCCTCCTCCGACCAGCGGACTGATTTGTAGATGGCCTCGAAGCGCCACTTGAAGGCACTCCAGTCACCCCCAGTGGCCACGAACTCTCAAACTTGGGGCAGGCGTCAACCACGATCGGCGCTCTCCTTCGCAGTGGGTGTCGCGATGTTCAGTGACCCGCCGCGTGGCAACGACGAAATGGCGGCCTCCCCACCACTCTCCTCCGCGGTGTTCAAAATGGCGGTCATGAGACGCGTGGTTGCCGGGGACTGCGAAATGGCAGCTGTCTCCACCCTGCCCAGGATGGTAGCCGTATCCACCAAGGGGGCACCCTCCGTCCCCGGGCCTCTGTACGTCAGTCCCCGGATGGTCCGCCATCGGACGGTCCGCCACCGGACCTCCTCCAGCGGCGATTGGCGTGACGAGAGCGGCGAGGTGGAGGAGCGCTGTTGTCAAAGCACCCAGCTGCATCTCCACCCTCCTCCACGGATCGTTAAGGCGAAGCTGATGTGGAAACTCCACCGCGCCGTCTGCCGCAGGTGCGACATCTACACCCATCGTGGGCTCCATAACCGGGACCACGGGACCCGGGGTTGGCAGGAGCCGTGTCGCCGCCTCTTCGTCGTTGGAGAACACTGGAGGTGGATTCTTCTTTCTCTGGTGCTTGGACATCGCGTATTCAGTAGAGCACCGCCAGAAAAAGTCCACTGTCTGACACCACTGTAATAAGTGGCTCCGACACGGTAAGTAACTTCGGTATATTTATTCAAGTTTCGGTACAACCACTCCTCTCGTTCTCGCGGATGCCGACCCGCAGCACGTGGCTGCGCTGCCCTGTGCCACGTGCTGCTCACCCCGCTCTCTACCGCACCGCTGGCTAGCGGCGCGCTGTGGAGCGGCTGAGCGGCTGGAGGTCGAGCCGCCACGTGGCAGGTGGAGATGGCAGGGCAGCAGCGACAGGGAGCTCCTCTTCGATCTTCAAACACCGACCCCTAACGTTGCTGTACCCCCTGCTTCTATTTTCTTCTCCGAGGCTAAGACCCGCCTCTGGCCACTCCCCTTTAGGAACCTTCGAGAACGTTCCAGAGGCTTCCATGCTAGATCCGCCCATTCACCTTTCCCCCAGATAGAATCCCTACAACTCATAGTGCGTGGACTGTATGACGGTATGTAAATGTAACCCCACAATAATGCAGGAGATGGCGCTTGCTTATTACACATGCAACAAGGTATCTCCTACAGAAACACATGCAGGCATCTCAACATTCCTGTGCATAATCTACACACAACCTTCTGAAAGACACATCTCAGAAGGGCTGAGATTTTGACATTCTTGCAGCAGAAGTGTGAAGGACAAGACAACCATGTACTGGTGTTATTATTATTTGGACTCATCAGTAGAGCATATCCTTCATTGCCCACTGCTGCCATTTGTGCTTCATGGAATTGTGTTTACAAGCCCTCCCCGTAGACGATTGGCGACGGTAGGCAATGAGACTCTTACTCTGATGATCAGCCGTAATTAGAGTAAAACAGAGGTACAGATGCCCAATTGTTGTTCTGCTGCCTAAATATAATAACAGAAAAGTCACAACCTCGGTAAGGTTGAGCAGGCAGTCATCACAAGGCGGTGTGCAGAACATTCACAGGATACGGTGAAATCATCTGAACGTACAAAGCCTGACACTTTGTTTTGCTGTTGCACACATTTGTGTGTGTGTGTGTGTTATCATTAGTTGCTGACATGCACATGTTTTTTCTGGAAATTTGATTTCCTCTTCAGCTGGGGAAAGTTTGCTTTTCATTATTCACACTGAACGATTTGTTTCATTGTGTAATGATGGTTGGAACCGATGCAATGAGACAACATGCATTGACATTCACGTAGGAATCTGGCCTATTATTAATCACAACAATGGTCTTGCATGAACATTTTGGCACCCAATAGGCAAGAACGTCTTTGGCAATTGAGTTTGTCGTGGATTGTTGAATTAACTATTCTCACACGTGTCCTTAACATTGCTGATCAGTGCTTTATTCCTTCTTGCCTATTATCAAAAAACAACCTCACAACGTGTGCAATGTTGGCTGGAGCAATAACATCCACTGGCCTTGTCATCACCCATTTGTAAATTATATTATGTGCTACAGCCATCACTATATTGCATCTTTATTAATGTTCAGTTGTGCAAGGGTACTGCCACCTTTCACCGCATACAACATCATCCATACAACATCTAAGTCCTAAGAGGAATCAAACACAGGGGGCCTGATTACAGAAAATGATGTTAACATTTCCCATAAGTCCGGAGGCAGCGATTGTTTAGTGGGTTCGAAGAAGTACCTACCGTATTCTCATCACATTATTAATTCTTTCCGCTTGTCATACTCTCCTTGCGGGAGATGTGAGCATTGGGAGAGATAGCTCCTTTGTGCGCGGAGAGCTGTGTGTATGCATGTTGAACTTCGGTGCGTATGTAGCCAACCATGCCAATCGGAGGTGCGGCTGAAGGACAACAAACTAAACACAAAAAGCAGTTCTCAATAAATTAGTTTTCAATCTAGATTTTTAAGTGCATAGCTCCAGTGGCTTTCAATATCGGAAGAGCGTTTCAGATGGCTGCAGAAGCGCATCTGTAAGCACGCAATGCAGTGACCGTCTTTGATGGTGAGCCAAAGCTGCCGCTGCGATATCTGGAACATGTAATAATGTAACGATTTGCGTGTGACGATGGTTTAGGCTCCTTGACGAGATCGGCAAGGTTTTGTGGCTCATTTGTGGCAAACACTTTGTCGTGTAATGGTACCAGAAATGGCGGGAAGTGGTTATCAGAGTGCAAAGCAGCACATGTGTATTGACTTTTCAACCACAGTCAAGGACTGAGTTGAATGCTCGTGGTTTCTCACCGTTTGCAGTGTTGTGGCTTTATAGGCTTCCTGTAAATGACTATTATCGGCCCATGGAGACAAAATGTAAGCAAGGCATGGTAAACATAGAAGCAATATTCATCAGAGAAGCGATTCATCACTTTGTGCTATGATTTTCATTTATATTGTGAATAAATTAATGTATTAACTAGCCTTTTGCCCATCCAAGGACGGGTGTATTGCAGTGAATCAGAAACTTGCAAGCGAAAAGCAGAGCGCGACGTGATATTAACTGCATGAATGCGTGTGCAATTTGTAAGGCCGCGGTGACACAGACCGATTTCGTTTTAAGGTGATAATCCCTTGTTCATCATGACGTCCTTTTTACTTTGATGTCTCAACAGCGTGACGGAGATCACGTGATGACGTGAGGGTTCTGCCTTTGTAGTGAGGGTTGTAAGTTGACGCTGGGGGGGGGAGGCCCCTCCTCCCCCCCCCCCATGAAGAGTGACGTCACCCTGCTCATGATTATTAATGAGGGGCGAGTCCATGTGGAGGACGTATCCTGTTCATGATTATTAATGAGTGGGGCTGTTCGACGTGGAGTGACGTTACGCTCGTTAAACACTGAAATTATTGGGTAAATATAGTAGTAAATTGGTATAAACCACTTCACAGCTAAAGTTGCAGTTTTTTTTTACTTTTGGATGCACATTGCACTCAAAGCGCAGATATTTCTGCTTCTATATTTCCTTCATGCATACCATTTATAGGTTAAATTAGCGGGAAGTACCCGGCGTTATATATTTAAAAACTTGTTCTCTCTTAAAAAACATAACATAATATATATATACACAAATACGAAGCTATTGTGAAAGCGAGGTGTTCTGTTTGTCTGTCCATTTGTCTGTCAACAAAATTATAAGAGGCTTGCAGAAATCCAAAAAGTTATAGAAAGTGGCGGGTAAATAGTTGATCTAAAAAGTTTCCGAAAATTGTCGACCCCCCCTCAAAAAGTATTTTTAACCCCCATAGGCATATATACCTGCACACCCTATATACAATAGAGTGAGTAGTATCTGGTAACTCTATAGTAGTATGACTCTACAGTAGTATTTGACTCTACAGTAGTATATACTGACTCTATAGTAGTATCTATTGCCGATATAGTAGTATCTACGGACTCTGTAGTTGTATCTCCTGACTCTGTAGTTGTAAGCTACTGACTGTACAGTAGTATCTGCTGAGTACATTAGTATTTACTGACTCTATGGTAGCATCTACTGACTGTATAGTAGTATCTACTGACTCTATGGTAATATCTACCGACTCTATAGTAGTATCAACCGACTCTATAGTAGTAATTACTGACTCTATAGTAGTATCCACTGACTATAGTAGTAACTAACTCTATCGTAGTATCTACTGACTATATAGTAGCATCTGCTAACGATAGTAGTAAACACACATTCAATACTGTGCTAAAAAAAACGGATTAACCTAAACATCCCAAGCACCCTCCCGAAAGTCTAGAAATTCAGTAAAGTTTTGTCATACAAAAATATAAACAAAAAAATGTGAATGTATGTTGCAAATAGTTACATTATTACATGTTCCAGATAAAATGTGCTAAAGTTCATCAATCATTAAAGTCGCCTGCTTCCAAGTTCACTTTACCCACACATTAGGAATATGATTCATGTACAAGTCTAATGGCCTAATTGGTGCTAATCTTCATGAATTTACCAATTTTTTTTATTATAAAATATTGATGGAATTGTGGCTGCTGGTCGACATGTTGTGTCGCCCTCATGTATTATGTTATATAGATGAAACCACGTTGTCTTTAGACCTTGAATATCACAGTTACATAGTTTTTGTTTTTTGCCTCAGGTATATTGGGCACAGCACATCAACTCAACATGTGCAGCCGTGTCTCTGAGCAGCTGGCCATGTCTTCGATTCCTACACACGCTTGTGGTGAGTACTTGTATACATTTGTGTTTTTTTAAAGATTATTTAATACTGTGAACATTTACCTGTACGAAAATATAATTCATAAGCAGAGAGTTTGAATGAACTCGAGTATGGCTGTGATTGGATGCGAGTCGCGTAGCTCCTGCACGGTAGAGACGAAGCGACCTCTGGGATCCTCCCGAACAGCATCCGTCTTGGTCTCCAGTGCCCGTCACCGGCATTCAGCCCTTCTCCATTCTGCGGATGCGTCCCACCTAACGCAACTCTTTTTGCCTAATTCTATCGATAACACTTACCTGCCATGTTCTGTTTCCGGAATTGTGCATTGCGTATTCTGTCTTGCAATGAAATTCCCAGCATCCGCCTCAGACACCTGGTGTCAAATGCCAACGACTTATCTTTGAGTTGTGTGCATGTATGTTGGACTTCTTTTGCACCGTACGTAACCAACTCTGCTAATCGGAGGTGCGGTAGGAAGGACGAGCAACTAAACACAAAAAGTAGTTCAACAGAAAAAAATCGTCTGCTTAGGGTGCAGCTATCTAATCCACACAGCAACACATGCCGCACTCCTGCTTCAAATTCCAGTTTCTTTGCACTCAGACTTGTCTCTCGTTTGGTCCAAAGTGGTTTCCATAGCCCATAGAAAGTGTGGCCTGCTAAATCAATGGCACCTCCTCACCTCTTTCTCACAGCCCCCTGCATTGCGGACATCACTGCCTAAGCACACAAAGTCCTCGTAGACCTGCACATTCTCTCCCCCTGGGACTTGCAGTCTGACCACAGGAGCCTCGTTTTAAAACTCCCACCATAAATTGCATCTTGGGAAAGCTTTTACCTTAACACCCAGTGTCCAGTGTAGATGCCTAACACCTCAAACAATTGCTTGGCTGCAGCCAAAGTCACAGCCAACAAACCCGCATCATCTATACATACTTCAAGTGCCACACATTCATCTCACCTGTGTTGTTTTTTTTTTCCTGGGTAGTAAGTGTTATTTCGTAATTGCTTATGCCTAAAAAGTATAGAAAATGGCTATTATTCCTCACAAACTTTGCTTTTGTGAACAAGACAGTGACATTTATAAATGTACCTATTTTCAATGACAAAACGGGCGAATTTGTGTCTTTCCATTCACATAAAGTCAGGAAAAAAACAACATATTAATAAAAATTAACATGCATTTATATTAAAGTAATACAAAAATGACTACAAAAGATTTAGAAGTGAGTAGTTTTTCGAGTTTTACGATTATTCTGTAAATCACTTTCATGAATCAGCCCCCAAATGTAGTCTCCCATCATGTTCTCGTTATATTATCCTTGGTAGCGGCGTCGAAAGTCCAGTATATCTTGGTGGAACCGCTTGCCTTGCTCCTCCAAGTACGCTCCCATGTTCTCCTTGAATGTATCAAGATGAGTATCAAGGATATGGACTTTGAGGGACATCCTACAGCACATTGTGCCGTAGTTCTTCACCAGAGTTTCAACCAGCTCCACATAGTTTTCGACCTTGTGATTGCCCAGGAAGCCACGAACCACTGCTATAAAGCTGTTCCAAGCTGCTTTCTCCTTACTAGTGAGCTTCTTGGGTTATTCAATCCACTCCAGGATCTTATTTTTCTGTGGTTCAACGAAGACACTGGCTTTAACCTTTGCGTCAGACAGCTTAGGGAAGAAGTCTTGATGGTACTTGAAGGCTGCCGACAATTTGATGTGCAGTGGTGGCATCAGCACCTTCCGGGGGTCCAACAATGGCTCCCACTTGACGTTATTCCTCCCCACAGACAACTCAGTCTGCTGTGGCCAGTCCCGCCTGTGGTAGTGTGCCTTGGTGTCCCTGCTGTCCCAAAGGCAAAGATAGCAAGGCAAATTGGTAAAACCGCCTTGGAGACCTATCAGGAATACCACCATTTTGAAGTGTCTGATGACCTCCCAGCCGTACTCATCACACTTCAAGGCGTCCAGCAAGGTATTGATGCTGTTGTAATCCTCTTTGAGGTGCACTGAGTGAGCCAGGGGAAGAGACGGGTACTTGTTACCATTATAAAGCAGCACGGCTTTGAGGCTCTGGATGAGCTGTCAATGAAGAGGCGCCACTCATTCTGGTTACAGGCGATTCTGATTACCTCGAACAGACTGGTCACATTATGGCAGAAGCAGAGCCCATCTTGACGGGTGAAGAAGCTGCAAAAGAGTTGGTGACGCTTCCTGATTTCATGATTTTTATCCAACAAGTTCCACTGCTTGAGCCTAGACGTCAAAAGCTCGGCATTGGACTTGGTGAGAACAAGATCTCTGATCAAGTCGTTGAGGTCTTTTTCGTTGGGGTAGTATGGGTTTCTCTCCTCAGCTCCACCTCTGAGATTGTCATCTGGATCTACCGTGTCTTCTTCGCTCTCTGACTTGCTGCTCTCTTCTAAAGACGGCTGCTCTCTCTCTGGAGGAGTGGGTACGGGGAGCTCATGGCAGTGTGGTACCGAGGTGATGGATGAAGGAAGGTCTGGATACGTGATAGCAGATGCATTCTTGCCAGTCCAACATTTGGAAGGGACCACCATGCAGAAGTAGCAGTTGCTTGAATGGTCAGTGGGTTCCCGCCAAATTCTTGGGATCGCGAACTTCATGGCTCTTTTTTTCCTTCTGTACCATCCTACAAAAATACATTTATTTCACCCATGACTAATGTGTAAGAGATAATCGCAACATTTCTCATATATGATATATTTTTTTCAATAACATTGAAAATTGTAAAAATTTTCAAATTAAAAACTTTTACAATGTTAACATTTTTAAAATACATTTATAACATAAAATTCCGAGCAACAATTGTCCATCTTATCTTACAAAGTTTTTTTGCATTGCTCTCAGGTGAAATGAGGTGCCCAAGGTTTGTCTTGATCCCCAACAGGCATGCCGAAATATTCCTTGTAGGCCTCACACATCTTAGCAGATGCTTCCACAGAGTACTTTTTCACTCTGGTTTTGATAAATTTGCCACAGACATAGCAAAATGCGTCTTCCGGATGCTTGCTGCCTCTTGATGCCATCTCATAAAAATGCAGATATATATCCACTTAGGCAGCTGTAACTAAACTGAACTGGTGGGCTTAAGGCCCCTGTATTTATACTACTATTTATGTTACTGGAAAGTTCTAGAATGTTATAGAATTTACTCCATTAGTCATGGGTGAAATAGCACAGCATCTATCTAGAATGTTCTGGAAAATAGGTACATTTCAAAATATCAATGTCCTGGTCACAAAAGCTAAGTTTTTGGGGAATGATAGCCATTTTCTGTTACTTTTGAAGCATAAGCAATTGGGAAATAACACTTACTACCCAGGAACAAAAAAAAATAGTTACGCAGTGTTTTCTATTGCTTTTAGAGTAATTGGCTGCGATAAATTTCCACTTTGTTGAGATAACATCTGTGGCTAGTTCACTTCTGAAAAGCGCTCATAACTCAGTGGGCCTTACCGGCTAAAATAAAAATGGGTTTATAGTTTGGCTTTTTTTGTGGAGTTAGTGAGAACAGTCAAGCATACAAACCAAAGCGAGAGGCAAAATATAAATGTTATGAACACTTGTCCCAACATCAAACCAGCCTGATGGCTTTTCAATTCATACACAAGTCTGAGTCCCATCATACACGATTTAAGCAGTGAACTTATCATACCTGAGATCCGATACAGCAGCGTTCATAGACTCTGCTGTCACGCAGAGTCATAGGTTTGCTTAAAGTCTTACTAACGAAATCCAAAGGAAATTTTCATTGCAGACATGTAATTGGTACGTTAAGTTTTATAAGTGTGATAAAAAAAATAGTGAAGGGGACCGATCCAATCAAAAAAAAATGTTCAGAAGAGTAATAATTAGTTTCCGAATTAATTTCACATTTTTTTAAATAAGTTGTATGTTTCTCAAGAGTCAAAGTGTTATGAATACTGTAATTGTTATAAGCGTATTCTTTTTTAATTAACAAAAACGTGTTACTTATTTTTAAATATCCGTGAATTTTTTGGAAATTGCATTCACCTTGGTTGTGTTGGTCGTACATCTTCTGTTCAGCCCGAGATAAAAAAAAAGGAAAAAGTTTCTTGCCCCTGCCAGGTGCTGGTGCTATTCAGAGTGAGCTATATTGATGGAGAGGTAGGTTTCTGCAAGCTAACTGATAAATGTGTTCATTGTTGAGATGCAATGTTGACCGTCATTAATTTGGCCATCATTATGATGTCTGCAATACCTGTGCATAAACTGACCTGCGCAACCTTGGCAGCGAAAGAAAAGACAAGCTCTAATGCTAATGACCATTCATAATGAACAGTTTGCATATCCCCAAGGAAATGTTGCATATCATTATAAAATGGTAATTTATTGAGCAGCACTGCATTTTATGCAACACAATGACGAATTGTAGGCTTTATATTCCAGGTGATTTTATGCCACAATTATGAACATAATCTGGACCTTTCATCACTTGGTGGGCAGCCAAGTTTCGGATACCATCAGACCATTCCTGCCATAAATTTCCATGTCCGGTGTATTGAAAGTCTAACTTTACACTTTGATATATATTATGCCAATTTAATACAGTGGTCATTGTTGGACCGACGGCCGTGCACAATCAGCTGTATTTCAGTGTGAGTGCTTGCTTCAGCCACCACTTGCTATTCACATGGATGCCAACAAATGGAAAGTAAAGTATGGTGGGCTTCACAATGATGCATGACAGCTTCAATATATTTATTTCTCTACGGCTATATTTGAGAATTTAGTTTTCAATCAGTATTTTCAATCCATTAGCATGCTTCTCATTGGCCGAAGATGATGATTGATATAGCCAACAAGAATCTGAGACATTGCAATCATCGTTCAGAAATGCAAACAGCCTTGGACAGGACAGGTCACAGAGACGGCAACTAGTGGGCAAGGCAGTTGAAGGAGTGGAAGTCATAAGCAGAGCGCACGTGAAGGAATGAGCAGACAAGAGAGCGAGCAGTG